AATGTTACCTTGTGTGAGTAGGCTACCGTATTGCTGCGTGCTCCTGCCTGTTGTTGCCTATGAAAGTAACCGCGCATGCTTCTATCCCAAGGTCTTGCCTGTACCAGAATTGCTGAATATCATCAGTTTAGTTTCTTTGGAGTCCACTTGAGCAAAGTCCAGCAATTGAAAACAAGTGGAATTTAAATTTTGAGTTGGATGCTTGCTTAGTTGCTCGAAGGAACACAAAATTGCCCATTCCATCTGCAGGTTTGAGGAAGAAAACGACGTTTCTGAACCTTTTCTTTAGCCTTACAGATATGGTTAGTATTCCTCAAAATGTGCAGATGTATTTGTAGAGATAAATTACTACCTCTATGTTAAATTAAGCAATTTTAGCCTTTGCAGAAAGTGGTGGGTGATCTAGTGAGGTTGCAGCAGCTGAAAGTGGTGTGGGGAGGGAGGAAGGAAGGGAAACAACTTGCAACTACTTATGGCATGCCTGAGTTTGTGACCTTGGTCTGCAGGGTTCACTGCTTGAAGAGAAGGGAGAGTTTGGTCTCCGATTCCTTCAGTCTTTGGCTTCCATGGTGAGGCTGTCTTGGCTTTGTAAAATCTTATGCTGAAACTGAACTCAGGTAAATTAACTTCATGGGGAATTTATTGTATTCTTAGAGATTCAGATCGCCCGTTGGGCACACCAATAATGTAACGTATTTCTCATTCTCAGTCAAGTCATTCAGTACTCTGCGTTTGATTCTTCCATACATTGGTAAAGGTGTTACAGAAAGTATTGCATTTCTGTCTTTCCTCTTGGATCTATCCTAGATTAACTCAGGTAAATTAACTTCATGGGGAATTTATTGTATTCTTAGAGATTCAGATCGCCCGTTGGGCACACCAATAATGTAACGTATTTCTCATTCTCAGTCAAGTCATTCAGTACTCTGCGTTTGATTCTTCCATACATTGGTAAAGGTGTTACAGAAAGTATTGCATTTCTGTCTTTCCTCTTGGATCTATCCTAGATT